GCTACATGTTTTTGGTAAAAAAAAAATCCCAATAAGTGTATATTGATTGCGTTTTGTGAAAGTTATAGTGTCTACAAACTATGATATAGATACTGCAATTTACGCCATTTTTGTGCTATACAGTGCTGCGCTAGTTTAACGGACAATTGCGCGGTCATGCAATACGGTACATAAATGAAATTTACATCCTTTTTTTTCCCACAAATCAAGCTTTCTTTCGGTGGTATTTGATTGCCTGTTCGTTTTTTTTTATTTTTTGCGCTATAAAAAAAAAAAATGGCTGACAATTTTGAGGGAAAAAAACAATATTTTGGACTTTTTGCTATAAAACATGTCCAGTAAAAAAAAAATGTAAAAATCAAATTTAGTCATAAATTTCTGCCAAAATGCATTCTGCGACATGTCCTTGCTAAAAAAAAAAAAAAAAAAAACCCCAATATGTGTAAATTAATTGGTTTACGTGAAAGTTATAGCGTTTACAAATGGCGGGAAAGATACTGGGATTTTTAATTTTTTTTTATACTAATAATGGCGGCGATCAGTGACTTATGGGGACTGCGGTGAACATTCTGACATGGGGGGAACTCACTTGGGGTCACTGACATCCCCAGTGACATCAATACAGTGATCAGTGCAAAAAAAAAAAAAACCACTGACGCTGTACTAATGGCACTGGGGAGGAAGAGGTTAACTTTATTATTCCGTGAAAGGGTTAACTGTGTGAGGGGAGTGTTTTACTAGGGGGTGGGGGTGTGTACTGCAGGGAACACCGCTGATCGGGAGAGAGAAACTCTTCTCTCCCGATCAGCCAGTCAGGAGCTGACAGGAAACTGACAGAGAGCAGAGCTATTGCAGCCCTGCTCTCTGTCAGTGATTGCCGCTAATCGCCGAGACACAGCCGGTAACGATCGGCTGTGACCCGGCGACTGACATCCGTGGCCATGATTGGCGGGACAGTAGGGCGGAGGCGCGCCTCGCGCGCGCCCCCTACCTGTTTTGAAAACACATGTTTTAAAACGTGGTTTTGCCCAGCCCTGCCACCCTGCCACCGTAATTCTACAGTGGCTGGGTGGCATGTGGTTAATGTTCTACTTGCCTTTTAAATGTTCTTGACGCCAAAAAGAAAAGGCTAATCTCAAGCCCCTTCTTTCCTCCATTTATAAGGAGAGGCTTCAAAAATCTAAAATTGCTTAGCTTATTAGGGACTGCAGTATGAAAACATATACACTTATCACTAAAAAATGTAACTGGGAACAAATCTGAATTTTATGTCTTAAGCGATTCCTGACCGTATCAAACAGATACCAATAATGATGATGAGGAAGTACTCCTCCGGGGATATGTAGATGGATCAACAACCCAGCCCACATGATATCGCCTTATAGTCCCAATACATAATAAATGAATAGATGAATGGTAAACTAGATAAAGGCTAAATGAAGATCTGTAATTGCTCACCATAGTATGTATTCACAATCTAATGATCCCCACTTTCAGGCATAATGCCTAAACCTGAATCAGAAAGTGGCTGCAGCCCCTTTGGGATGCACATGCGACTGCATCAAGGAACCACCCCTGCTTGTTCACTGCTATGAAGCATAATGCCATATACAGAATCTGGAAGTGGCTAGAATCTGTTGCAATGTAGACGGAGACATCACCTCAAACTAGCTGGAGGAAAGTTCAGAATTAATCTTAGAAAGTATTATTTTATGGAAAGATTAGTTGTTGCTTGGAAAAGACTTCTAGCAGAGCTACAGAGTCAGTCAACAGTAAGTGGATTCTAACATGCTTGGGACAAACATATATTTACTGTATATAGTATCTGTATAATATGAAAATGGACCACTTTTTTTTCTGCCATTACTTTTTCAATTCTGTTTTTTGTGGTGCTAGATTAAAAGTGAAAATATACAAGAAATATACACCCTGTTCCAAATTATTATGCAAATGATATTTTTCTCATTTACCTACATAATTGATGTAAATAACAGTCAGCATAATTCTCATGTTATCAACTATTAAGAGTACAATTCAAATTTTATTGAAGAAACCTCCTAATGATAACAGTATTTTTTTTAAACATAAACTTACAATGCACTGTTCCAAATTATTACGCACAGTAAGTTTCAAAACACTTTATAGGTTGTAAAGAACTGAAAATTGTCATTTGTTGTGTTTGCAGCATATTTAGTGAAATCAAAAGCTATTTCAATCAAACTTTTAACAACATTTTAACTTTTTAAACATTTTAACAGGTCACGTTACATTTTAACATAGGACCCCCTTTTTTGATAGCAGCTTCACAAATCTTGCATCCATTGAACTTGTGAGCTTTTGGACAGTTTCTGCTTGAATTTGTTTGCAAGATGTCAGAATAGCCTCCCAGAGTTGCTGTTTGAATGTAAACTGCCTCCCACCCTCGTAGATCTTTTGCTTGAGGATGCTCCAAAGGTTCTCAATAGGATTGAGGTCAGGGGAGGATGGAGGCCACACCATGACTTTCTCTCCTTTTATCCCCATAGCAGCCATTGATGCAGAGGTATTCTTTGCAGCATGAGATGGTGCATTGTCATGCATGAAGATGATTTTATTACGGAAAGCATAGTTCTTCCTTTTGTACCAGGGAAGAAGGTGGTCAGTCATAAACTCCACATACTTTGCAGAGGTCATCTTTACACCTTCGGGGACCCTAAAGGGGCCGACCAGCTCTGTTCCCATGATTCTGGCCCAAAACATGACTCCACCACCGCCTTGCTGACATCGCAGCCTTGTTGGAACAGGGTGGCCGATCACCAACCATCCATTACTCCATCCATTTGGACGATCCAGGGTTGCACGGCACTCATCAGTGAACAGGACGTTTTGAAAATTAGTCTTCATGTATTTTTCTGCCCAATGCAGCAGTTTCTGCTTGTGAGCATTGGTTAGTGGTGGCCGAATAGAAGGTTTATGCACAGTTGCAAGACTCTGGAGGACTCTACACCTTGATGTCCGTGGGACTCCAGAGGCACTAGCAGCTTCAAATATCTGTTTGCTGCTATGTAATGGTATTTTAGCAGCTGCTCTCTTGATCTGATGCATGGATCTGGCAGAAATCTTCCTCAATGTGCCTTTATCTGCACGAACCCGTCTGTGCTCTGAATCAGCTACAAATCTCTTAATAGTGCGATGATCACGCTTAAGTTTTCGTGAAATATCTAATCTTTTCATACCTCGTACAAGGCATTGAACTATTTCACTCTTTTCGGCAGCAGAGAGATCCTTTTTCTTCCCCATATTGCTTGAAAATGGTGCTCTGCTTAATAATGTGGGACACCGTCCTTTAGTAGTTTTTCCTTAAATTGGGCTCACCTGCCAATCTAATTATCACAGGTGTCCGAGATTGTTTTCAGTGATCAAAAGAGCCCTGAGACACAATGCTATCCATGAGTTAAACTGAAAAACAAAATATTTTATCTTTGTGACACTTAAATAGAATTTGCATAATAATTTGGAACAGGGTGTAGATATACACTATATTGGCAAAATTATTGAGATGCCTGCCTTTACACGCACATGAACTTTAATGGCATCCCGGTTTTAGTCCATAGGGTTCAATGTTGAGTTGCCCCACCCTTTGCAAGTAGAACAACTTCAAATCTTCTGGGAAGGCTGTTTACAATGTTTAGGAGTGTGTCTATGTGAATGTTTGACCATTCCTCCATAAACACATATGTGAGGTCAGGCACTGATGTCGGACGAGAAGTCCTGGCTCGCAGTCTCCTCTCTAATTCATCTGAAAGGTGTTCTATTGGGTTGAGGCCAGGACTCTGTGCAGACCAGTCAAGTTCCTCCACCCCAAACTTGCTCATCCATGTCTTTATTGACCTTGCTTTTTGCACTGGTGCGCAGTCATGTTGGAGCAAGTAGGGATCATCCCCAAACTGTTCCCACAAAGTTCAGAGCATGAAATTATCCAAAATGTCTTGGGATGCTGAGCCTTAAGAGTTCCTTTCACTGGAACTAAAGGTGCAAACCCAACTCGGGAAAAACAACTCCACACCATAATCCCCCCCCTTCACAAAAGCTTACACTTGGCACAATGCAGTCAGGTAAGTACCATTCTCCTGGTAACCACCAAACCCAGGCACGTCTGTCGGATTGCCCGACAGAGAAACATGGTTCGTCACTCGAACACGTCTCCACTACTCTACAGTCCAGTGGTGGCGTGCTTTACACCACTGCATCCGACGCTTTGCATTGCACTTGGTGACGTAAGGATTGGATGCTGCTGCTCATCCATGGAGACACTTTCCATGAAGCTCTCTACACACTGTTGTGCTAATCTGAAGGCCACATGAAGTTTGGAGGTCTTTAGCTATTGACTCTGCAGACAGTTGGCGACTTCTACGCACTGTGCGCTTCAGCATGTGCTGACCACGTGCTGTCATTTTACGTAGCCTACCACTTCGTGGCTGAGTTGCTGTTGTTCCCAGTTGCTTCCACTTTGTTATAATACCACTAACAGTTGACTATGGAACATTTAGTAGCAAGGAAATTTCATGGCTGGGCTGGACGCAAATGTTTGTAGAAGCAGTCTGCATGCCTAGGTGCTTTATTTTATACACCTGTGGCCATGGAGGTGATTGGAACACCTGAATCCAATGATTTGGAGGGGTGTCCCAATACGTTTGGCAATATAGTGTATATTTAGTTATTGTTAATCCACATCAATTCTCTACTAAGCATAAATTAAAGTGAATATACTTTCTGGACATTACATACAGGGCATCTGCGCTGCACTAAAGTGTATTATAGAAGAGTGATTGAAAATTATTCGAAATATATATAAAATATATATATATATAAGTGGTAAGTTACTGTGAACAGTACAGACACTGAGATGTAAAAGGCAGTTTGATGTACAGATCTCATTGTGTTATAACCATAGGCATCAAAATAAGATTGTGTTGTGGAAAATGCTTTGCCACTGAAGTGTCATCTCAATCTTTTTGCAGCGTATTTGATATCAGAACTTGAAGCCGCGCGAATGCTGAGTGTAAATATGCCTGTAAAGAAGGAACAAGATGGAGGAGGCAGTGACGTCTTTAAGGAATTGAAGACTATATGCATGACTCTGGGAATGTCAAAACCCCCAGCCAATATCACAATGTTCCAGTTTTTTAGTGGAATAGAGAAAAAAGTAAGATATCATGCTTTATATGGTATTAGTTGGCTACCCAGTGTTTCTGTAGGAAGGAGAGGCCTTGCCTGGTAGGCTGTTTGGTGTTGAAATGCTCTCGACAGATTAAAGCAGAAGTAAACGCTCTCAATCAACATAAACTATTGTGTATATATATTATTTACTTATTTTAAATCATTTTTTTTTTCTTTTTTTTTTACATTTTTTTTTTCTGTTGATTTCTGGTTTTTGGCGCAGACAAAAATGATATATATCCCATGAGCCTTCCTCGCCATTTTTTCTTTCAACTAGAGGAGGGTTTTTCCTCAGATAAGCACACCCTCCTGTCTGTATGCTTGAGCTAAGGGAAGATAGATTCCAGGATGTAAATGCTACATGAAACATCTTCCCTTATTCAAGATGGCAGTGGTTAGAAATGCATGGGAGTGTTTTTCAAAATAATTACTCAACAAAATAAAACCTGGAGACATGGATGGATGGGTGAGTTTGCTTTGAATATTAATAATGAATTTAATAGCATTTTCGGTTTTTGGTGCAGAAGTACAGTTTAGTTCCACTTTAAACACAATAGTTCATTCATTTTGTTTCTCTTTCTTGAAAACTCCAGGTTTTTCTGGGGAATGCTAGTGGTTTTAGAGATATGGGAGACACAATACCACCAAGGTGTTCTGTGCCAGTCCTTAGGCTTTCTTCTTGTTATACATGCCTGGTACAGCTTCCGACGGTATCAGTAGTAGTCTACAAGTGATATGAAGGTTTTTGTACATATTACCTTTTGTCAGTGAAAACAAAGTTAGAGAGAAAAAAAAAAAACAATCTGTTCTAACTTGTACATAGATTGATATCTAGGCTTTGTGTGAACTTAGACCAGTTTCTCATACTTTTTTATTAGGATACAGACTGTTAGATGTTGGCGACAATTGTTAGCCTAGGTGTCTAATGTCTTCTGAACCAGTAGTATGAAACTGTGGAAGTGTTTCATTTTTGGTCTCCAATCATTTTTTAGACGTAAAGCAGGTATGTGCTATTAATGCTGTGATATTATGTTGGTCCCAGGTATTGAATCTATTGTGGGAAAATTATTTTGCAAAATGTTTAACAGATCTTCACTGTACTGTATATGCTTTCTTCATGCAGTTTTTATGTATTAATAGTGCGTTATACTTTTTTCTTAGTTAAAAGAAACCTTAGCAAAAGTGCCACCTAATCATATGGGAAAGCCTCTTCTGAGCAAGACACTGGGGCCAACTCATTGGGTACGTTGTATGTTTGCATGTTACTAATTCCATGCATTCTGAATTCTATAATGTATAAAGTATTCCTAAAACCTCCATCTTTTTTTTTTTTTTTCACCGCAGCACTTTAACCGCCCGTTGTCCGCCATATAAGCAAATGACAGGCGGGCGGCAGTTCTCTCGTTCTGGGAGGACATCATATGACGTCCTCCCACTCTAACTGTGCATGCGCGCCCTATGGTGCGCGCAACACGGCGATCGGTTTTGCAGTGGATCACCGATCAGAGTAAAGAGCCGATCATATCGGCTCTGTCATGTGATCAGCTGTGTTCAATCACAGCTGATCACATGTAAACAAGGAAATGCCGGTTATCAGCAGTCCTCTCCTCACACTGACAGCGCGTGAGGAGAGGAGAGCCGGCAAGCAGCATTCCTAAGAAGGGTTACCTTCACTGATAAACAGTAAATCATGCAAGGAATAAGCACTAATAGTCTAGTATGCCCGAAACGTAAAACTTCATTAAAAGTAAACAAATGCACACACAATAGTTGAAAAATTTCATAGCTGACGAGGAAACAATACCGGAGTATGGACTTTCCAACCAGATGGCCATGTAGTGTGATGTCACATGAAGCTCCATCCAATGCGTTTCATCATCAATTGACGTCAGCCAGAGCTACAATGCAATGGTTTAGATCAAAGCATATTCATGTGTTAGAATGGCCCAAAGTCCAGACCTAAATCCAATTGAGAATCTGTGCCAAGACTTGAAAATTGCTGTTCACAGATGCTCTCCATCCAATCTGACAGAGCTTGAGCTATTTTGCAAAGAAGAATGGGCAAAAATGTCACTCTAGATGTGCAAGCTGGTAGAGGCATCCCCAAAAAGACTGACAGCTGTAATTGCAGCAAAAGGTGGTTCTACAAAATATTGACTCAGGGGAGCTGAATACAAATGCATGACACACTTTTCAGATATTTATTTATAAAAAATTTTTTAAAAGCCATTTATCATTTTCCTTCCACTTCAAAATTATGTGCCACGTTGTGTTGGTCTATTACATAAAATTCCAATAAAATACATTTACATTTATGGTTGTAACATGACAAAATGTGGAAAATATCAAGAGGTATGAATATTTTTTCAAGGCACTATATGTGTGCATGAACACATAGGATCACATGCAGGGGAGTTTAGAGGCAGTTAATAAATATAATAACAACGTCTGATGCTGAAAACAGCAGCTGTAAAAATGGCCAGTGTGCATGAGGCCTAAAAGTGCAAAAAGTATAAGCAGAAAAGATGTTAAGACGATTACTTATTTTAGGGGAGTCGGAATATATTCAAAACCAAGGAATTCTGCAAGTGACCAGAATAAACTTCAACTGGGAATTTGATGCCTGCCTCTGAAAGTATTTAAGGTCATGCCAAGACAGCCTACCTTCTTTCTATATATCCTCATGGAGGAGGAGGTGACTTTACTTGCTTCTGGAGCATCGATGATAATTTCATGCTTTTTACTGGCCTGGATCCCAAGCAGAATGTGACCTAGGACCCTTTTCATTTTAAAGCATGCATATTATACTGCAACTCCCTCCTCACTGGCCTGCCTCGCCACAGGCTATCCCCACTTCAGTCGATCCTGAACACGGCAGCCAGACTCATTCACCTCACCAACCGCTCCGTTTCCGCCACACCCCTCTGCCAATCCCTCCACTGGCTTCCGATTGCACAGCGGATCAAATTCAAAATCTTAACACTGACATACAAAGCTGTCCATCATACTGCCCCAAACTACATCACTGACCTAATATTCAAGTACCACCCAACACGCACACTCCGCTCCTCTCAAGACCTCCTTCTCTCTAGTTCCCGGGTCTCCTCCTCCCATGCCCGCCTCCAGGATTTCTCCAGGACATCGCCTATCCTCTGGAACTCCCTACCCCAATCAATCAGACTATCACCTACTCTCCTCTCATTTAGGCGCACCCTGAAAACCCACCTCTTCAGGGAAGCCTACCCCACCCCCTGCTAATTGCCGGGTAATATGTTTATAGCTGTAATGTCCAAGACATTTTTGAAAGTAAAGGTCACCCATGTACGTGATCACTTTATCCTAATCCAACACAAAGGTAAAGTATATTGCAGCATTCTCCATCCAGAATGTTTTTGGGTATCCCCACGGGTATAAAACAAATTTATTTTTCTTGTTCGGAGAGGAACCAGCCCACTGGAAAAGACGATTATGCTTGGAAAAGGTGAAAGAAAAGAGGTAGTCCAGCAACAAAAAAAGGGGATATATGATGTAGTATCTGGGTGGTACTCCTGGGTCTGCACTATTTGTTCTGTGATTCCACTTTTAAATGTGCTTCCAGCAAAAGATATTTTGTTGAGTACTGGATAGGGAGCCTTACTGCGTATAGCAACTTAGAAGAAATGTATCTGGCTGTAAGAGAGCAATTCTGGTCTCTACACACTGCCAGCAACACAGTGGTGTGTCTTGCAAGGGTGACAGCTGCTGAATTCAGTGGTGCTGCTAAACAATGACTGTGTCTGATGCATGGCCCGTAGTGGGTCATCGTGGTCTGTGTTAGCCTCTGGCTTCTATTGTCATTGATGCTTCCAGCAGCAAGATCCTCCTACCATAGTTCTCAACACTCTTTCTGTCTTCATGGAAGGTATAAAAAAAAAAAATACAGCAGGTAGAGTGAGATCTCTTGGTAGTGACAACCTTCCATAAATGGCAGATGGGAGTTTAAATGAAACACTTTTCATTGCATGAAGTAATGGTGTGGCTTCTATGAATGGAACAGGGGGGCAAAAAGGGTGGGCATAGTTGAAACTTTTGACAAGCACCTGTGACAGGTCCAGAAGCTCCTATTAACCCCCGCAGTACTAGATGATCACAGCTACAGGTGTATCTGTGTGGGCAGAGAACTGAAGATTAAACAAACATAACAGCCACCAGCTCAGTGGACCCTTTTCATTCATTGTAAGTACCATCCAGGGTGCTGAATTTAAAAGAAAAAATATTTTGCTAATCTTAAGTTTTAAATAATGCTCTTGTAAATTAAAAAAAAATGTATTGACAGAAAAACATATTACATTTATCAGATCATCCCTTCACCATAATTATTGTAGAACACACTGCAAGTTTCCCTACCTTTTATTTCACCCTTGGTGAAAGGACCAGTACTTTCTTTAGGGAAACTAGAACATAATACATATTTTGTGGAATGCTTAAAATAAATCTTTAGTAGACAATACTGACTTTCCTAACATGAAATTGTTCATTATCCCTTTGTGTGATCCCTACTTTGCAACTATCACAAGTATATGCCCAGAATAGCATACTGCTTCTGTCATTCTGAGTTTTTAATTTTTTATTGGATAATGTTGGTTAGGAAAGTTTGCACAGCCTGTTGGCTCTTAAAACTATTTTTACTGCGTAGATTTATTCTCTTTCATTCTCCGATCAAAAGTGAATGCCTCTAAGCGTGCTTTTCCAGTTATATTTTCATGCTTCATCTGAAGCATAAACAGTAATGTCTGGGAGTTGAGACTTAAATTATATAAGGGATGTCTGTTCTTACCCACAAGCACATTGTCAAGGTGAATTTGTTTTGCACAATTCTAGCCTTGGGTTTCTTGAACTAGTTTTTCATTAACCTAAAAGCATGTGTGTACTTTATTGCTTAGAATTCAGCAAAACTATTTGTACATCTTTTAAAATTTCCAATGATTGACCCATTTTAGTCTTTATTTCTAGTAACTGTACCTGTAGTTAACACACGAATAAACAGCAGAAGTTAAGTTTTTCTTTTGCCTTCATTTAAATATTTATTTTTAATTTGTACATTAGGTTTTTTTTTTTTTTTTGTTTTTTTCATTATTTGCATTAGCAGCAAAGTCTTAGATGTGGCCCTTTTTTAGTTTAAAACTATAAAATCTTGGTGCACTTATTTATTATTACAGATACTTATATGGCATGGTCAATTTTATGCAGTACTTTACATATCAAATCATTGGATTTAGGTGTTCAAATCACTGCTTCTACAAACATTTGTGTAAGAATGGGTCGCTCTCAGGAGCTCAGTGAATTCAAGCGTGGTAAAGTGATAGGTTGCCCCGAAATCCATGAAATTCCATCCGTGAAATTTCCTTGCTCCTAAATATTCCACGGCCAACTGTTAGTGGTATTATAACAAAGTGGAAGCAACTGGGAACAACAGCAACTTAGCCACAAGGTGGTAGGCCATGTAAAATGACAGAGTAGGGTCAGTGCATGCTGAAACGCACAGGGCGCAGAAGACCGCAACTGTCTGCAGAGTCAATAGCTAAAGACCTCCAAACGTGATGTGGCCTTCAGATTAGCACAACCGTGCGTAGAGGGCTTCATGAAATTGGTTTCCATGGCTGAGCAGCTGCCTCCAAGCCTTACATCACCAAGTACAATGAAAAGTGTTGGATGCAGTGATGTAAAGCACGCCGCCACTGAACTCTAGTGCAGTGGAGACATGTTCCCTGGAGTGACAGGAGAACAGTATTTGCCTGACTGCATTGTGCCAAGTGTAAAGTTTGGTGGAGGTGGGATTATGGTGTAGGGTTGTCTTTCAGGGATTGGGCTTGGCCCTTTCTTTCTAGTGAAGGGAACTCTTAAGGTGTCAGCATACCAAGACATTTTGGATAATTTCATGCTCCCAACTTTGTGGCAACAGTTTGGGGATGGCCCCTTGCTTGTTCCAACATAACTGCGCACCAGTGCGTAAAGCAAGGTCCATAAAGACATGGATGAGCGAGTTTTGGGTGGAGGAACTTGACTGGCCTGCACAGAGTCCTGACCTCAACCCCATGGAACACCTTTGGGATGAATTAAAGTGGAGACTGCGAGCCAGGCCTTCTTGTCCAACATCAGTGGTTGACCTCACAAATGCACTTCTGGAAGAATGGTCAAACATTCCCATAAACAAACTCCTAAACCTTGTGGACAGACAGTTGAAGCTGTTATAGCTGCAAAGGGTGGGCCTACGGACTAAGACTGGGATGCCTTTTAAGGTTCATGTGCATATAAAGGCATGTGTCCCAATACTTTTGGCAGTATAGTGTATATTGTACATTCACATCAGTCACTGCCCTCAAGGAGCTTACAATCTAAGGTCCCTAGCTCACATTCATATATACAAGGACCAGTTTAGACAGGAGTCAATTAAACTATCAGCATGTCTTTGGACTGTGGAGGAAACCAGAGTACCCGGAGTTAACCCACACAGGCACAGGGAGAACATGCAAGCTCCAAGCAGATAGTGCTGTGGTGGGGATTTGAACCGACAACCCTAGTGCTGCTAGGCAGAAGTGCTAATCACTTAACCACTGTGTAGGTATTTTGGTTTAATCCGTTTGACTAGCTACAGAGATGAGGCTAGTGTTCATATAATCCTGTCTCTTATCACTGGCATAGTGGCAAATCACTGCGATAGCAGACTTTTGCAATTAGGTGCTAGATTTGTTTACTCTGTCCACTTCCCATTGCCATTTTTAGAGAATATAAAGGAGAGGGAACCCTTCTCTCAATGCCTTCTCCTTCCCCGACTAAAATGGTCATATCACCACAGCTGAAAGTGGGCAGTTTAGCCTTTTCCCCCACTTTTCTTTCTCTCAAAGATGGGCTTTATTTAAACACCAGCAATAACCATGTTCTGGTATGGAAACGACCAATCCTGGGACTCCTGCATTCTTCTCCGTGCTTATTAAGAGTTTTTTTGCTTTTATTAAAATGCTAAATAGTATTTGTTTTTATTTAAGATTGCACGTAGGTGTCTTTCTGTGTTAACCTTTATTACAGTAGGGGTCTGGGGGTTCAAAACTGCTATCTATATGTTTTCCCTTTTAAATTGATAATACATAGGGCAAAAAAAAAAAAATCAGTCATATTCAACTGATCCATGGTCCCTTTTCTATGTTAGAGCAGATTGTAGAGTTTTTACTAATGTAAATCCTTGTTTTATTCCTCTTGGATTAGCTGGCACTGGCATCATCCACTCATCTGTGACCATAAACATTTGTCCATCAATACTTGTAGACAAGTGACTACACTTGCTAAGGGACAAGTGTAGCATATACTTGAAACACTCATTCAGGCTCTTCTGGAGCTGCTGAATTTTAATGGATCCTGTGATTAGTACTGTCACCAAGTGAAGCTTCTGCAAGCACATTTTGTCTTCCAGGGTCTTTCCTAATCGTCAGAAATGATGAGGGTATTCTTAAGGATAGGTGTGGATGTGTCTGCTGCCCAAAAAGCTACTTTTTGTGCAGGAGACACAGCCACTCCATCTACAGGACTTTTCTTTCTTATCCATTGAGGCATACAAGAAGATTGCTGCCCTCAGGAGGATTGGACAGTGGCAAACTGTAGGCCCTACCAGTGTTTTTTTCTCTTAAAGGAGAAGTACAGCCAAAGCTCATTTAGCTGTACTTCTGTGGATCACAGGAGTGCAGTTCTTTGTGCACTCCTGTGACCCTTTCTCAGCCGACAGTGGGCTAAAGTCATCTGATGTCACTCAGCTGGTCCACGCTGGGGAAAGTTTCCAACTTTAAAGTGGCTTGAGGGGCTGCATGCAGCACGCCTTCTAATTATGCCAACATCTGCAGTCTGGGATCCTGCTATCTGATGTCATTGGCATCCTCTGAGCCCTTGGCTTTGTTGGGTGTGGCTGGATCTTTTGCTCTTTTAGCTGAGATACTCATCGACATCATTCAGGACTTTATGATCCAAATGACCCATTTATGTACTGTCTCTTCTGTATCTGATTTACATGCATCCTTAGCAGCATCTGAGCCATTGGCAGAAGAAACTTTTGTCACTGATTTGCCTAAAATCTAGACTTAAGAACCTACCCCTAAGAAATCACAGGCTATTCCTATTACTCCCAAAATAAAAAAGACTGTTTCAACTCTTAAGCTTTCCACATATGGAACAAATTTAGGCTAGTTCCGCAGGGACCAGTTTTATCAGTTTAGCAAGGATTTTGTTCAAAAGTGATTCGTTCCCACCCTGAATCGGGTCATGTCTTGCCTTACCAATTTGACTACCTTACCGGTGGAGGATGCACCTGCCTTTAAGGCCTCAAGTGATAAGTGGTTTGAAGCCCCTTCCAGAGCTCCTCTCTTGTAGAAAGGTTCTCTCCTTCTATTTCCAGACTTTGTCAAACCTTGTCTGACTGGTCAAAATCCTTTTAAAATGAATATAACCACCACTGTTCATCCTTTGCTAGTTGAACACGTATAGCTAATAGCCGTAGAGTTAAATTTGCAATTTTGACAGTTTACTGAAAGCGTTCTGTCTTATGTTTTGCACGTGCTTCCTGTTGTTGCATAGGTGTAGGGCATTTTGGCTAAAGTGCTGGTCTACAGAGCACTCTTGTGAAAAGTACTGTATTTGATCCACATAGCCTTCGAGAGGAAGTGCCTCTTTGGACCAGCTCTTGATAGGATCAATAATTCTACTGGTGGAAAGAAAGGTCATCTTCCGCAGCAGAAGAAGCATAAGTAGAAGACTTCAAAGTCCTCTCCTTCTCTGCCCATTAAGAAGAGTTGATTCTGGCATTTCAAGTTTGCCAAATCTTCAGGCAAGCCTTTCGCTGTATGAATGTGTGCCTCCATTTTCCATATTCTGTTGACCTTTGTGGATGCTTGGACAGCTGACATTTCAGATGCCTAGGTTTAGAAGGGAGTGTCCCAGGCCTGCAAAACCAATTTTTTTTTATTTCCCCTAATTATTTGCTCACTTCCAATCTACCTGTGTCCCCACACTCTGGCTAACATTTTTTCATCAGACTCCCTCTGGTCTTCTGGATTGAGTCGTCCTTATTTCAAAACCCAAAGGTGCCTTTATCACATTTTGGACCTCAAGGCATTAAATATTTACACTTGGGTCCATATGTTTCAGATTGAATCCACCAGATGTGTCATTGCCTTCCCTCATCAGGGAGACTTTCTGGCTTCTGTGGCCATCAGAGATGCTTAGTAACATGTGCCCAGTGCATAAACTCCTTCTATAGTTTCTGATGAGATTACTAAACTTTAGCTTGTGGCCCTGCCCTTCAGCTTATCATCTGCACCTTGGGTGTTCACAAAGATGTTGGCTCCAATGTTGGCCCTATTGTGCATATTCCAATTATGAGTTACATAGACATCCTCCTTTTGAGGAAACCATTAGCAACGGCTCTGTCAGACAATGTATCTCCGTATTTCCAGATGTAGCAGCAATTTAGATGAATCCTGAACCTTCAGAAATCACTAGAACTGACTCATCACTTGAAATATCTGCTGTCGTCCTTAGGATGGACTTCAGACTGTGCGATCTCAGGTTTACATTACTCAGTTCAGAAGTTATTTCTCTTTGCTTCTGCATGAGAGTTTTGGAGCCGATGGTAGTCTTTCATTGCGGTTCTCTTTGCCCAATTTCATCCCTGACCTCTGCAATGCAATATTTTATTGTTGAGACAAATCAGTTCTGTCTCTGGACAAAAAAGCAAATATGGTAGGTGCTTTGATCTGGTCTCTGGAGAAAATGATTCAGTTGTGTGTTGCTTTTTTGGGTCTTTAAGATGTTGTTGCAAGGAGCCAAGTGATCATTTCTCGATTTAGCATTGTTAAAAAAAAAAAAAAAAAAAAACAGGGCATTTGAGGAGTGTCACTTGATGCACCTTGAACACCTGTGCTATGCTTCCTAAGATGTTCAACACTATAGGTGTGTTTTAATATACATTAAAAGCTACCTTTAAATGTCCACACCTGTTTAATTTTGCCTTCATATTCTAGGTTTTGTTTTTCTTTAGGGCTATGATATTTAGAAATTGATTACAAAGGTGTGTTTTTCTTTTTCTAGGAGAAAATAGAAGCAATTAATCAAGCCATAAGTAATGAATATGAAGTCCGGAGAAAAATGTTGATTAAACGTTTGGATGTGACTGTACAGTCATTTGGTTGGTCAGACCGAGCAAAGGTAAACCTAATGTTTTTAATATAGATAACGCAAGCTTGTGTTCGCGTTCTGGTGAAATGGTGTTCCTTCAAGTTGTGGAATGTTGCCGTTTGTACTGCAGTCCACACTTTAATTATGGCTTGGTTCACTATCTCACTTGGTTACTTTTGACCATGTTGTGATGTTCTAAATTTTGGTTAAAGTAAATTTGACTCGGGTTGATTTATTGAAACTGGAGAGTGCTAAATCTATTGCAGCTGTGCATAGAAATCAGTCAGCTTCCATTTTTTTTTTTTTTTTTTGTCATGGCTTAATTGAACAAGCTGGTGTTATGCAGGCCATAGACGGGGAGAAAAACGGACGATTTTTCTTTTAAAAAACGAAAAATCGGTCGTTCAAGCGGCCGACGTTACCACCAATGGTAAAAAAAATCGGCCGATTTTCATCCCGTCTACAGCCGGCAAAAAGTGTCCCTGCAGAGAGCTCTGCTATTTCTTTGACAGTTCTTTGACATTTACAGAGGTTGCAACAATGTATCTATTTGTATCCATTTAGGATACAGATGTTTTTATTCGGAAACAAATAGATACAATGTTGCAACCGCTATAAATGTCAAGGAACTGTCAAAGAAATAGCGGAGCTCTCTGCATGGACACTTTTTGCCGGACTGGAATTCCTCTTATTTTTCATCCTTCTTCTTCTCCTTCTTCATCATCATCATCATCTTCTTCTTCTTCATCATCATCCTCTTCTTCTTCTTCATCATCATCCTCTTCTTCTTCGTCATCATCATCCTCTGCTTCTTCTGCTTCGTCATCATCATCCTCTTCTTCTACTTCATCATCATCCTCTTCTTCTTCTTCTTCTCTGCTTCTTCATCATCATCCTCTTCTTCTTCTACTTCTTCATCATCATCATCCTCTTCTTCTTTTTTTCTTCATCATCATCATCATCATCATCATCCTTCTTCTTCTTTTTCTTCTTCATCATCATCCTCCTTCTTTTTCTTCTTCATCATCATCCTCTTCTTTTTTCTTCTTCATCGTCATCCTCTTCTTCTTTTTCTTCTTCATCATCATCCTCTTCTTTTTCTTCTTCATCATCATCCTCTTCTTTTTCTTCTTCATCATCATCCTCTCTTCTCTTTTCTTCTTCTTCATCATCATCCTCTTCTTTTTCTTCTTCATCATCATCCTCTTCTTTTTCTTCATCATCATCATCCTCTTCTTCTTCATCATCATCCTCTACTTCTTCATCATCATCCTCTTCTCCATCATCATCATCATCCTCTTCTTCTTCATCATCATCATCCTCTTCTTCTTCTTCATCATCCTCTTCTTCTTTTCTTTTCATCATCATCATCTCTTCTTCTTCTTCTTCTTCTTCTTTTCTTCATCATCATCATCCTCTTCTTCTTTTCTTCATCATCATTATCATCATCATCCTCTTCTTCTTCATCATCATCCTCTTCTTCATCATCGTCCTCTTCTTCTTCATCATCATCCTCTTCTTCATCCTTCTTCTTCATCATCATCATCGTCCTCTTCTTCTTCATCATCATCCTCTTCTTCTTCTTTTTCTTCATCATCATCCTTCTTCATCCTCCTCCTCCTCCTCTTCATCATCATCATCATCCTCCTCTTTTTCTTCATCATCATCTTCATCCTCTTCTTCTTCCTCTTCTTTTTCTTCTTTTTGTCTTCCTCTTGCAGGTCACTGCTCATGCGCAGATTTTTTATCGGTAAAAAATCGGCCGATTTGCCCATTATTGCCGCGGAAATCGGCCGATCGGCAAAATCGGCCAATTTTTTTCCCCAACTTTACCGATAAAAAAAAAAACGGCCAAAATACCGAAAAACGGCCGAACAAATAGCCCACTAACAATCCGAAAATCGGCCGATTTTATTTTCGGCCGAAAAATCGGCCGATTTTCGACCCATCTATGGCCTGCATTAGAAGCTGATTGGTTGCCATGCACAGCTGCACCAGATTTTGCACACTCCAGTTTTAGTAAATCATCCCCACTATTATTGTGTTATTGTGTGCAGGCTGAAGTAATTCCTAGCACCTAGATTTTGGTTTACTGTAGACTTGTGTTGGCCTCTGATTTCAGTAGGGTAATAATACGTTTGGACTTTTGCAGTAAACCAGTGCAAACATTATGTACATGTTTTATGGGTAAATAGTAACTGAAATCTCTATAGGAAATTTTACATCAAGTTTCATCAAATGGAAAGATTTTTCTTTGGTCTGTTACTGACTTATGTTCATAAAAAGTGAATGAAGCTTTGAAAGTCTTATTTTAAAGCCCCTGATCATTTCTTCAGTTTTTGTGTTCCCAAGAATATGTTTACACTGAAATTAGGGGCGGCTTCACACTGCCCCAACATGCTCTTACAAAAGTGTAGCTAACCTTGAGTCTTCGTGCTTTTTAGCTACGCTTTCCCATAGATTCCTATGAGGTCCTGCAGTGTTTGGTGAGCGTTATCAAAAATCTCCTGCTTGCTGCATTTTTGGTGTGCTTTCTGTAATTGCACAAAAAAGTGTGACATCATCAAAGTCTATAGAATAGCGCAGCTAATCCGAACTAAAAGTGCCATCTTTTTTTTTTTTTAGTATGCTCAATATCTCAAATAGAACAAACCTTTTATTTTTATTCCTTGAACTATGTAGACGAGTGTCCAATCTCAGGCCACCAGAGGGCACTGCTGCATTTATTTATTTTCCTGGACTAAGAATAGAAACTGACTTCAGTGTACAATATTTATTTCTTTATTTCAGGTACTTATATAGCACCGTCAATTTACGCAGCGCTTTACATATATATTGTACATTCACATCAGTTCCTAACCCTCAAGGGGCGTACAAGCTAAGGTCCCTAACTCACATTCATATACAAGGGCCAATTTAGACAGGATCCGCTTAACCTACCAGCATGTCTTTGGAGTGTGGTAGGAAACGGGAGTACCCAGAGGAAACCCATGCAGGCACAGGGAGAACATGCAAACTCCAGGCAGGAGGTGCTGTGGCTGGGATTCGAACCAACGACCCTAGTACTGCCAGGCGGAAGTGCTAACCATTTAGCTACTGTGCTGCCCAATAAGCACCATACAAAAAGTGTGCCTGTTGGTACAATAAATAAGGAAAGACCCCAGTGGTTGGAAATACTACAAAGGACTACCTGGACTCTGTGTAGAAAAGAAAAATGTGTATGTCTATGAAAAAATAAATATGAATATGAAAAGTAGATTTTAGTGTGTTTAAAAAAAAAACGTGTTTAGGGTGATGTGAAAGAATCTCATGTGACCTAGTTGTTTGAAAGTCCATATTATAGATCCAAAGAATTTTCTGGTAATGTGGAAAATAACAATCTGGACCTTACACATCAGGTGCTGACTGGGGCCAAACGGCATTGTAAGATGATCCGTGGATAAAGACACACACATCCCCAAAAGATTGCAAAACAAAGACTTGGTATCCATGGGACTTTAATAGCGCAACCTCTCAACAAAGTACATAGACAAACAAACAAATTTTGACATGAAATAATTTTTTTTTATTAAACACATATTAAAGTCGTATTAAACTCAAAACCAAAAAATGTATTATATTGCAGCTTACCAAACATTAGATGTGATGGCTGCATCACTTTATTTGGCTTTTATTTTCCTCTATTGTCACCCGGTGAGTAACACACCTGTATTCTGTATTAGTGAGACACACTTCTGGAGGAATGAGCATGGGAGAACAGCAGACAGCAACATAGTCAGTCCAGGGAGAGGGAAGTGTTAAATGTGTTGGCAGATTTAAATACACTAAACAATTGAAGCCAAACTCCAGCTCGCAATTTGTGATCCATTCACACCAACCGTTATTTTTCCTTTTGGGATAAAGGTTTTACATGGATAAAAAAGTTGGTCATTTTAAGCACCCCTGAAAGTGGGTAAATGGATAGTCTCATCCATGTAAACTGATACGTTCTGCTGGAGAGCTTGAGCTTATGAAACGCAGCAGGCTTAGTGGATGGATCACCAGATGAAAACTAAGAAAGAAAGCCTAAAAGAAAAAATGAATACAGCCATCACATAGAAGAATTGGTAAGCTGCAATATATTACGTTTGCTTCTGGGTTTAATACCACTTTAAAATCTATTTAAAAGTATGTGATTTGGCATTCCGAGCACCCCATATGGGGCCCCGACTACAACAATCATGCATTGATACAAGCAAATGTAAGTTCATCTACGATTACAAAATACAGTTATTTAATGTATGGCAATAGTGCTAAGGATCTCTCTGATTGTGGACAACGTCCCTCTTGACCTTTTTAGCTACACGCTTCTTTGGGAGTAGAATGTAAAAAAAAAAAAAGTAGAAAAAATTATATTGAGGTCTACAGCTTGATGCCTAATATACAGAGTGTTGGCTCAGGGCACTGGAAACCAGGAAGTACCCCCGGGGAAGCCACCAGTGCAATGGCAACAAACAACCATAAATCACACTGGCAGAGTGTTATTTCTTTAAAATAAAATATCAGTGTATCACAGTGTATTCATTAGGGCGTGCATCATTCTCTCACCAGTCATCAGTGGCAGTTTAGATGAGGGTGGAAAAATGGAGGTTCAGGACCCAAAGGTGGGTAACATGGTTTATAGTAAGAAGACCGGGAAGAGGAAAACGTGTTAGAGAGGCTAGTCCCATATTAAGATTTATTGCACAATAGATGAATATCTTTATTTACATAAATAAAGCAATTTATAAAAAGGCAAGCTGATTTGTAAACACTACCACATATTGGTATGAAATATATGATATTCACATGATAATACACGTATACATTCGGTGGCATCATCCATTCTATGATCCAATAAGGCAGCTCTTTCCCCCACCTCTCTGACATCTTTTAGTAAGTCAGCCGATAGTCTACGAGAGACTTCACTTAGCTTTTCCCAAACAATTTTCCTTATCTTGCCAAGGAGGACTGCATTCGGGTACTGGTGCGATAGTTGCAGGGCAGATGGGAATTGTAGGGAGCTATCATCCAATCCCTCTGAGCCATCTAGGGAATGCTGCGTGGTCTCGTCTGCTGGAGGCACCGGCGCCGTCTTGGCATTGTGGCTTAGGATCAGCTTGCTGCTTTGATTTGGTCTTGTCAGGGGAGACCATGGTATCGGACCGACCCCCAAGACTCACTGGTGCAGAAAGAAACCGTCAGGGAGGAGATTGCTACCTGTTAGCTGTCGAGGGAGGAGGCAAAGTGCCCGGGGTGAGCGGAGCTAGCTCAGTCTTCGACCATCTTGGGCAGCTTCACGCATGCACCCCCTTGGGTATATTCTATATAAATCTGCAGATTTTATTGTGGAGGTGGGGGGGTGAGCTAAAATAAATGGGGGGGAGGGGGGGAGAATGTGAAGGTCCACTTTGAGAGGTGGACAGTATGTGAAATACAGCATGGCCTACACAGCAAAGCAGTCCACAGCATACAGCAAAGTGTACAGAGTATGAGATCTACGGTTTGGCAATTCATTCAGAGTAAAGGTTGCAGTGTAAGAACTGCCAGAGTTAGCAAACCAATGGGTGCCAATAATTCTTCTTTTCCTCTAGGTAAGTAATGGACAGTACAGCACTTTTAATTCTTGAAGGTGTTTGGTCTATCATGGCGGACCTCAAAGCCCAGTTTTCCTCACAGATGTAGGCCCTACTCCAGTCACCCACATTTGGTGAGGTGGTAATACTAGATTGTAGAATGGTTGTTGTGTAATACTTCTTACAGACTTTCATTAATTGTTTGTATTTTTCATTTTGACAGAGTCAGTCTGACAAACTGGGCAAGGTTTACCAGCCGAAGCGAGCAGCCTTATTAAGCAAAAGCACCATATCAGTTGCTCATCTTCTAGCAGCGCGGCATGATCTATCAAAAATCCTGAGGACTAGTAGTGGATCGATTCGGGAGAAGACTGCTTGTGCTATAAATAAGGTTAGCTACCTTGGCAAACAACAAGTTATGGGTTTAAATGCCCAACACCAGCCAATCCTTATGCTGTTTTGGCCAGTGGGGAGGGATAGATCCACTGCCTGGTTTTTACTGTTGTCTGTGACCCCTTTGAAAATATTTCCCCTTACTAACGTTTGGGACCGGAAATTATGGGATCTCCATTGAAACAGAAACAAGATATACCTGTGCTCAAATCCCAATAGCGTGTACATGCATTTATCTATAAGGTGCTAAAGGATGTAACCACGTTAACAATAAATATCCAGGAAGAACCCTCTATAGACTGCTATATACCCTTTCCAGCAAACTTTGCAATAAAAATAGGGATTTTTAGTTCACACATATTGCAATGCATGTTTAACCACTTGCCTACAGGGCACTTATACCCCCTTTCTGCCCAGGCCAGCTTTCAGCGCTGTCGCACTTTGAATGACAATTGCGCGGTCATGCAACACTATACCCCTATGAAATGTTATCATTTTTTGAGACAGATATAGCTTTCTTTTGGTGGTATTTAATCACCTCTGGGTTTTTTTATTTTTTGCTAAACAAACCAAAAACAACTGAAAATTTTGAAAAAAAAAATTTTTTTTCTTAGTTTTTGTTATAACATTTTGTAAATAAGTGATTTTTCTCCTTCACTGATGTGCACTAATGAGGCTGCAGTGATGGGCACTAGTAGGTGGCACTGATGGGCATTGACAGGCATCACTGACGGGCACTGAAAGGCAGCACTCATATATGGCACTGTTAGATGGCACTGTTTGGCGGCACTGACGGCACTGATTGGCGGCACTGACGGGCAGCTCAGATGGGCACTGATACGTGGCATTGATGTGCACTGTTAGGCACTGATATGTGGCATTGATGTGGCACTGATGGGCACTGGCAGGTGGCATTGATGTGGCACTGATGGGCACTGGCAGGTGGCATTGATAGGCAATGACAGGTGGTATTGATAGGCAATGACAGGTGGCACGGCTGGGGCTACACTGATCATCAGTGCCCTGATCAGTGTAGATGTCCCTTCTGAGGAATGCCGATTACCGGCTCTCCTCTCGAGCTGCCAGCGTGACCGCTCGTGAGGAGAGAAATGGCGATAACCAGCATTTCCCTATTTACATGCCGTCAGCTGTGATTGGACACAGCTGATCACATGACCGAGCCGACATCTTCGGCTCTTTCCGTTGATCGGTGATCCGCTGTGTCCGAGGCACACAGCGCACCACCGATCGCCTCTCTGCGCGCTCCCGGAGCCACGCATGCACAGTTAGAGTGGGAGGACGTCATGACGTCCTCCCAGAACGAGAGAACTTGCGCCCGCCATTACCTTATATGGGGGGCGGGAGGCGGTTAAGCTGGCCAAAGTAAAAAGTAATCCCTTTTGACCAGTCCTACTTTGCTCTGCCAGCGCAAATGCTACTGTTGACACAATGCTAACATGGGGCAAACAGATACAAAGTGGGGGAGAGCTACTAGGTTTAGGTCTGGCTACTGACCTGCAATGAAACAAAAACAAGATATACCTATGCTCAAATGGATTTATCTATCAGGTGCTAAAGGGGTGTAACCACATGTTAACACTAAAAATCCAGTGAAGACACAATCTACTACAAAACATGTATCTTTCATTGAAGTAGGTACAGGTGTCGCTTTCTTACTGTTTGTATCTTCCTGTCCTGGTGACAACGGATTCCCTTATTTCTTGCTCTGCCGTCAGAGATGGAAAGCGAGGTGAAATCTCCCCCATGGGAAAAAAAAAATGTATTTACTCTTCTAAAGTCTATCCAAAATTTGAAAAGAGAAAAGAAAAACTGTTGGCTGGACTCTCTCACTTGCAGGCCCTGCTATTTACCCTGTTTTAGCTGTGTGCTTGATTCCCCATTCCCTTCACATCAAGGCCTCCCAAGCTTGGATCCCAGTCCGCTCACATATGTGGCACTCAAACTCTGCCAAATCCTCAAAGCCTTCCTCAGCATAAAGATATCCCCACTTTCCAGAGTTGGAGAGAGAGTTTGGTAAGGTTTGCGTCTCAGATGTTTCATTAAATTTTACTCCCCGCCCCACCTCAGTTTCTCAACACAAAACTTTGTGTCACCGCACAGATGAGCAGTGGCATTGCGTCAGCTTCTGTGTCAAAATGGCTTTTAAAGATTTTACTTCAGTTTTGTTCGCTTTCCTAAAGGGGACATCTTGTATCTTAAAGTTCTGAATGTCTTTATTTAAGCTCAGAAATTCTGCATGGAATCCACCAGGTTTGTTTTTACCTCCCTTCACCAGGAGAACTTTTGGGGTTCTGTGGACATTAAGGAGGCATATTTACATGTTCCCATATTTTTAGTGCATCAGTGTTTCCTAAGCTTTGCTGTGGGCCCCTATAATACAAGTTGTGGCCCTGCCCTTCGCCTGCTCATATACAGTTTAGATGTTCGGCAAGGTGGCATGTCCTTTGCTAGGGTCCGATCACCTGAAGGTAAACACCTATAGTTCATAGTGTATGAATACTCTGCCTGTGTCCTGTACTATACTGCAAGTGATGGAATTTACAGGCAAGTCAAAATTCTGCATCTGTGAAACTGGGCAATACATGATTACATTTCATTAAGTCATTCAGTTACTGAAGTGTGCTAGGATTTCCAAACATTTCTCTTGAGCAGAGAGGCTCTCACTTTGTAAGAGTACACCCTGACCTACCTACTCTGTACTTGTGGCTTTTTTTAGAAAGTGACCTCTCCTTAAAAAAAAAAAAAAATAATAAAACAAATAGGGAGACTGTAACAGAATTTTAATTTTGATTTCATAAGACATCCTGCTGACTATCATTTAACGTGTAAATTAATTTTATATTAAGTAATAAAATTCCCAGCAGCTAACTAATTTGGACATTTTAATATGAAATTATAACCAGACAGTAACTGCTGTGACATGGTTTCCTGTTTTGAATGAGGATGCATGTAAATGTACATGCCAGATGTTAGTACCACCTTCTAGATTGACTATGGAATTAAAAACTGGAGTGATCCTTTTTTTTTTTCTTTGCTGAATGCAGCTGAGATTTGTTTTACTTTAGATTTTATACTGTAGGTGGCACATTGTGGGTCATACATCACACCAGTGTTGACATACAGTATGGGGTTTATCCAGCAGAAAAAAAAAAAACACAATTTACCTGTCCCATTATAATTTTACATTGTGTGCACAATTAAGTGAGTATTTTGACCAAATCACTATTTTTATGCATATTGTCCAACTCCAAGCTGTATAATTTTGAATGCTTATTGGATTTAAGCATATCCGGTGATGTGTGTGAAATGAGGGAGGGTGTGGCCTGAGGAGATCAACACCTTATATCAAGGTGTGCATAATTATTAGGCTGCTTCTTTTCCTCAGGCAAAATGGGCCAAAAAAGAGACTTAACTGACACTGAAAATTCAAAAATTGTAAAATAGTCTTTCAAAGAGATGCAGCACTCCTGAAATTGCTAAGATATCGGGGGCGTGATCACAGCACCATGAAATGTTTTGTTGCAAATAGTCAACAGAGTCGCAAGAAACGTGTTGAGAAAAAAAAGAAGCAAACTTAACTGGTAAAAAAATTTGAGAAGGATCAAGCATGAAGCTACCAGGAACTCATTATCCTCCAGTGTTGTCATATTCCAGAACTGCAACCTACCTGTAGTGCCCAGAAGTACAAGGTGTTCAGTGCTCAGAGACATGACCTTGGTAAGGAGGGCTGAAACCCGACCACCACTGAACAAGACACATAAGTTGACATGTCAAGACTTGGCCAAGAAATATCTGAAGACAGATTTTTTTCAAAGGTTTTATTGACTGATAAGATGAGAGTGACTCTTGACAAACCAGATGGGTGGGCCCGTGGCTGGACCATTACCGGGCACAGAGCTTCACTTCGATTTAGACGCCAGCAAGGTAGAGGTGGGGTACTGGTATGGGCTGGTATGATTAAATATGAGCTATTTGGACCTTCTTGGGTTGAAGATGGTCTCAAAATCAACTCCCAAAACCTACTGCCAGTTTTTAAAAGACACTTTCTTCAAGCAGTGGTAGAGGAAAAAGTTTGCATCTTTCAAGAAGACCATGATATTTATGCAAGACAGAGCTCCATCTCATGAATTGAAACACTCCACTCGTGGCTAGCCAGTAAAGCCCTTGAAGATGAAAGAATTGTTTTCTTTTTAACTATATGTTTTTTATTAATTATAGTTACAATTACAACAATTTTTCACACAATAAAAAGAACATACAATCTCCATAACTAATTTTACAAATTCCATTCTCCTCCCCACTACCCCCCACCCCCTACCCCTGGTCACCTCTTACTTTAAATCTCTTTCTTCCTATTCTATTTTGTTGTTATCTTATTTTATGTAAACCCCTTTACTCTCCTTCCCTACCTATCCAAGGTGCAGAAGTCCCCTGCTTTCTTAATGCTCTTTCTTCCCACATACCCTCCAACATAACAGTGAATTTTATGTTCATTATGTGCCACAGTGGGTGTAACTTGTACCACCTTGCTAAGCACTTATAATTTATTTCTACAGTGTTAATATCTACCGCCCCATGCACCAAATTAAATATTTTCTTTTTTTCTTGTTCATTTAATTTTGTTCCTAATTCCTTTTCCCACTTTTCCAAGAATGGCGGTAAGGCACATCCAGATAAACCAGTAAGAATCTTATAAATGCGAGAGGTAACGTGCCTTTGCATTGTGTCTGTACTAAAAAATTGTTCCAGTGGATACAGGTCTTCCGCTGTATTTAGTGGCTGTGGGAGTGCTGTAACAAAGTGTCTTAATTGATAATAATGCCACTTTTCAAACCTAAAAAAAATTTCCTCCTTTTTTTTTTTTACATCTATAAAAGTGCACAATTCACCCTTCTCAGTGATATCTTTTAAACATTTATTTCTGTCATTTATCCAATTCCCTGCAATATTCTCTTTCCCTGGAGGGAAGAGTTCTGGATACTATCCCATATCCTAAAGACATTTTGTGTTAAAGTGCTAGTATTTTCAGAACAATTTCTAAACTGTTGTGGAAGCTATATAATCTTATCTAGCTGTGACTCACTCAGTGCACTTTCCATCCTAACCCAGCTTTTTCCCCGTGAGTTGTAAATCCAATTTGCTATTCGTAAAATCATCACT